AGGTCATGATCTCAGGGTGGTTGGGATCGAACCCCTAGTCGGGCTCCATGCTCAGTGTGGTATCTGCTTAAGATTCTTTTTTTTCCCCTCTCCCGCTTTCCCTGCTTGTGTTCTCTCTCTTGCTCCCCCTCTCTCAATAAATACATAAATAAATAAAATCTTTTAAAAAGTTGAAAAAAATAAAATGCTATACAAATGGTGACACTTTAAAGGAGAAGTTGGAAAAAAATAAAGGAAAAGTTGGTACAATATTCAAGTGAAAGAAGCTTAAACCAAGAATCCAATGCAGTGCATTGAATATTTACTGTGATGCTGTCTCTGAATGTCTTTTATATTTTGAAAAAGAAAAGTATGCTAAAAATTTCCCGCACGCAAGGGAAGGCTATATGGGAGAAAAGATCCTTGTGGTTTGTCAATAAATATTAACAAAATGTTTATATAATATCATATTAAGATCTAGTATATGCTTATTGAATGGAACATTCACTATTTATTCCCATACATTTTTCTAATGTAATAGAAAATTGATTTATTTCTGAACTAGAGGATTCATAAATATTTTAATTTTCAAGATCCAGAAGAATTTTTCTCAGCTGCCACAGTGAATGTTTTTTTCTTCTGCCAATATGCTGCAGTGGTTAAATATGCAAGAGAAAGCTTTGTCATAATTTTAAAATATTACTCTGATAAACTCAGCAAAATTTCACTAAAACTGTGAACAGTGGCATTTCTCATGCTCTGATTAGAAATAGTGAAGTGTGTTCTACAATCACAGAAAGTTCAAAGCAACCAAATAATCAAAATCACTGTGATGAATACCTTCTACTTACAATATGAATAGATGATTTTTTAGACTTTATAAATATTTAGTGTTTATCATATATGGTATTATCAGCATTTATTAGTTGTCAGAATGTGTTTGACTCTCCTGGTTTTCTTCAGATATTTATAACTACACATTAAACCTTTTGAATTATGTAGAGAAATTTTAATGGAAGAACCTAAACTTTGGTGACTGAAATTTGATTTATATTTTATAGCACAGTTAAGTTCTAGAATGTTTAGCTTTAAAAAATGTCCTTTGAAGTATATTGGAATAAATATGATTGGTAAAAACAGCTGAGCCATTCACCAAGATTTTTATAGAGATGACTGCACCATTTTGCTTTCGCATATTTTTAAGGTGATGGACTTTAAAAACTAATTTTCATTTTTCAAAGGACAGGGTGTTTCATGTTTTGCAGAAAGTGCAATGATTGACATTTTAACCGGTGAAACATCAGATAATGAAAGAAAGCAACTTTCCCCCTAAAGCCGCATTTCAACATATATACAATCCAAAGTTATTTTGTCTTGACATCTTTATATCTTTGCCGTTCAGTGACCTGGGCACAGTTGTGAAGAGCCTGGGGAAGGATTTGGTGATACTCAGGTCACACTGTACTTTGCATCCACCCTTACTGGTCTTACTGTCTTACTGCCATTTCATACCATTGCCTAGTTGGGGAATAGGATGGATACTTGTTACTTCAGTGGTCACCTGCAGTGAATAAGATTGTTATTTGCACGGATTTATTTCCTTTGTGTATTAATATATAATTTTTTAAAAGATTTATTTATTTGAGAGAGAAAGAATGAGCGGGGGAGAGGGAGAGAGAATCTCAAGCAGATGCCTGCTGATCATGGAGTCCCACAAGGGACTGGATCCCACAACCCTGAGATCACAACCTGAGCTGAAACCAAGAGTCAGAGGCTTAATTGACCCAGGTGTCCTATTATATAATTTATTGCCCCAACAGGGCAATATTGAATTTATTAGCCAAACAGGGACACTTGAGAGGGGGGAAAAAAGAGGTATTAATTATTATGCTAGGACAACAGGCATAAAGTGTGGTCACCCTACCCATGGAAGATTTTCTATTCCAGGAAGGTGTTTTCGAGGGAAGAATTATGGGTACCCTTGGGAGTAGGTGGAAGGGTTCCTTGACCAAGTCCAAAACCAAGGATTTGGAACCATTAAGCACATTTCAGAGGTCAGATATGTATTTTGAGTCTTATGTATGTCTGGACTCTACCAACTGACTTAGAAGAGTTCTGAGGTCACTTAACAAGTGGCAAGATTCATAGAGAGTCAAGGAACTAGACCAGAGGATTTTCCAGATGCCCAGGGAGACTGTACAGCTGGTCATTGGTGCTTAAGTCTGTGTCAAAAAACAGAAGAAGAGACTCTTCTTTGAGGAATAACTTTTTGTCAGTAGTATCCTATGAACCCTGTAGGCAGAGCTGAGTAAAGAAAAATACATCCAGAAGCAATGAATCTCCAGTTAGGTATATGGGTGAGTGGCATTTCCTTGCATATAGATTTACCATTAAGTGATACACATCATCTTCTCATTATACTCTACTTAACTCATGTTTATTTTGGGGGGAAATCAAGGGAGAATACAGTATTTGCTTGTAAAGAAAAAAATAACATCTATCCATTATATGACTGTCTAAACAAGCATAGCTCTGAGATCTAAAAATGTTTAGATCTAAAATGTTTACATGTAGAGAAAATTTAAGTGGCAGTGTTACTTGCATAGTGGACTTCTGTGTTTTAAGAGTTGACATGTTAGTGATGAACTATCTGGTCATGAAGCCAGGTATCCCTGTTTATAGAAATTTGAAGATCCTTTCATTATTAAGATACAGTGAGCTTATTCAGTACACTGGTCAATTTGGTCATATATATATTTTTAAAGATTTTATTATTTAGAGAGCAAGTGGTGGGGGGAGGGGCAGAGGAGAGGAAGAGAGAGAATCTCAAGCAGACTCCCCACTGAGCACAGAGCCCGATGTGGGGCTCGATCTCCTGACTCCAAGATCATGACCTGAACCAAAATCAAGAGTTGGACGCTTAACTGACTGAGCCCCCTGGAGCCTGCTTTGGTCATATTATTTAAAATTGAAAATAACGGTTAGGAGCAGGCATATGGTGATGAAATCCCTGGTTTAGGGATGCTTCATAGTATATAAGCTTTGGTGTCAGACATTCCAAAGCCTAGATGTTCCATTTACTAAATTTACTACAGACGAGTTGCCTAGAACAGCTCTTCTCTTTGGGGGATGATTACACTTACTGTGTAGGGTATTTGAAAAGACTAATGGTAATATATGCAAAAAACCTGGCACATAATGGGAACTTCTGGTAACATGTCTATTGTTCTTATTACTAAAGATAATAGCATTTGATCTTCAGGTTTGTCAAAACTTTGGGTGTATTCTGACCAAGAATTATTTTGTCCCCCTTCTCCCAGTATTATAAACAAGCTTATGCATGAAAAGGATATGTAGAAATAAATTTTTACATTGTATTAATTTATTCCCCAAGCTGTTATCTAAGATAGCCTGATACTCTGATTCTTATTTTAGCCAAAGGGAATTTAAGCACATAAAACTAATTTCTCAAAAGCACAAATCATGTTGTTAGAATTTCTAATTTATTGCCCAGTCTTGCTATTTTTTTCTCATGAGTTTGGTGGCAAAACTGGTAAGGACTGAAGCTAACTAACCCCAAGCACTGACTTAATCTAGAACTAGTTATTTTTTTAAGTTATCTCATTTTTTTCCTCCAAATTTTTATTTAAATTCTAGTCAACATTCAGTGTTACAGTAGTTTCAGGTGTAGAATTTAGTGATCCATCAGTTACATACAAAACCCAGTGCTCATTACAAGTGCCCTCCTTAATCTCCATCATCTGTTTACCACCCCACCCCACCTCCCCTCCAGCAACCCTGTTCTCTGTAAAGTCTGTTTCCTAGTTTGCCTATTTCCCCCTTTATGTTCATCTGTTTTGTTTCTTAAATTCTTTTTTTTTTTTTTAAAGATTTTATTTATTTATTTGACAGAGAGAGACAGCGAGAGAGGGAACACAAGCAGGGGGAGTGGGAGAGGGAGAAGCAGGCTCCCCGCTGAGCAGAGAGCCCGACGTGGGGCTCGATCCCAGGACCCTGGGATCATGACCTGAGCCGAAGGCAGACGCTTAACGACTGAGCCACCCAGGCGCCCCTGTTTTGTTTCTTAAATTCTACATAAGAGTGAAATCATATGGTATTTGTGTTTCTCTGACTGGCTTGCTTAGCGTAATACTCTGTAGCTCCATCCACATCGTTGCAAATGGCAAAATTTCATTCTTTTTTATGGCTGAGTAATATTCCATCACATATACCATACCTTCTTTATCCATTCATTCGGTCGATGGACATTTGGGCTCTCTCCATAGTTTGGCTCTTGTTGATAATGCTGCTTCAGTGTTTATCACTGAGTATATGAGTGATAAACTCAAATGAGTTTTTTTGTATTTTTTGGATAAATACCTCATAGGGCATTGCTGGATCATAGGGTAGTTAGATTTTTAACTCTTTGAGGAACTTCCATACTGGTTTCTTTTGTGATCAATTTAGAAACTTAAGTATTTCCCAACTTTTTAGTTGTGTATTAAGAGGGAAACAAAAGCAAAGTTCAGAATGTCTAATTTACCTGCACTTCCAAAGTGGCTAGGCATTTTATTTATTTAGAAACTGATAAAATAACAGAATGAATACCACGGTGCCAACCTCAAACTGTTCAGGTGTCCAGAACCCATTCTCCTTTTTCAATTGGATCTTTTTAAAACTACTAACTCAGCAGGTGAATCCTGTTGGTCTTGGCAGATGAATCAGTTACTCTCTGAAAAGCTCTAGTTTCACTGTGCATCACTATGTACAATAGAGATGGCCAGCCAGCATGAAATGTGCCACACTTGTAGGTAGAAGAATATAGAAGGACGATGCCTCAGACAACACATGGAAAACTCTGTGGTTGGAAAAAGTAAAACTATTTTGATAATCAGAAGACATTTATTACAAAGTGGAATGATTGTTCTGCCCTCCGAAGTTGATTGGCTAATACTAAGTCAGTGTTTCAGGAATTAAATTTCCTACTTAATTTCTCCTCACCTGTTTTCCATGTGGAACAGCAGATCCCCTCACATGTGACTTTGAGTCTGGTTTATGCGGCTGGGAGCCATTTCTCACAGAAGATTCACAGTGGGAAGTCATGAAAGGATTGGCAAGTGGAGAGACTCACCTTCCTGATGCTGATCACACAGCAAACGCAAGTCGTGGTAGGACATTTTCCTGTTTAAAAAATTGGTTGCCTTTCTTTCGTGTTGCAGAATGATGGTGCTGTGTATTCATTTCTAGCTATAGGCTACATACATGGAACTCTGGTTTGTCTTGAAACTCTCCTGATCAACATAATAATTTGTAGTTAATTGAGTTTCCTGAGAAGAATATTGTTTTAATAACCAACATTTTTGATGTCTTATTTTTTACAAGGTTGGGTTGAAGGCATGGTGAGGGTGGGAAGTCTTCTGATAATTTTCTCTAATTGCCAGAACTCATGTACAATAAGCTTGCTTTCTTTACAGAGCAATCCAATTTTTGTAAAACAGAAAAAAAATAGTTTAATCTTTCTGGAAACAGAGAATAGAGGTTTAGCGCTATCTATAAAATAAATTGACAAATGCTTGAACGCAATTTAATCACTCTTAAAGCTTCTTTGTAACAATCTTCTTTCTCATGTATTTTTAACCACCATTACAATTTTTACATATCCTCTTAAAGCAGTCAAATGACACATAGCATTTCAATAAGGGTTTGTGAATCTCCAAGGAAAACAGAAGGGTTTTCTATTTTTTCTCGTTTGTGTAGATGTCATTGCCTAGGTACATGAGTATCATATTAACTTTATAAAAACACAACTGTACTGTCAATCCTCTCTTGGACATTATTTATTTTTCTTCTGAGATTTCCAAAGAGGGATGCCAGAACTAACAATGTTGACCGTATTTTGAATTATAGCCACTGGAAACTGGAGTTGGTGGGGGAGCATGTTAGGGGATGGGGAGGGAGACTCTGGCCATGCATCTGTTGTCTTAAACTATAAACCCAGCTAATTTGACAGTGGAGTAAGGTCCTAATTTTTTCTTTTTGTGCCAGTGAACCTTATTTTTCTTTAAGATTCTGTGGTGGATTAAAGTTTGAAACAGAAAGGACTAATGATTAGAGCTATAAGTTAATAGCCCATTGTCTTCAAGCTCATATAATGTTTCTTTTTCTTTTCTAAAACCAATTACTGAGTACATATCCTATACTAGACCTGGGCTACACAGGAGGAAGCCATGCTCCCTGCCATTGGGGTGGTCTGAAGTCTAGTGACTGAAGCAAGTAAGTGAGGATTTGCAATAAGATATGATAAATGTTTTATACAAGATGGAGGGCAACTCAGGTGGAATCAAGAGGCCTTCCTGAAGGAGGTGACTCCTGAACTGAGCACTGAAGGGAAATGAAAAGTTGCCAGAAAGGCTGAAGTAAGAAGAGATGTCAAGGGAGGTGTTCTAACTGAGGGAATATCCTGGAAGAGGATGGGAGAGATGTAGGTAGTTCCAGTCGAGTGATGTGTATGTTTGGACGGAGCATAGAAAAGATGAAGCAGCCAAGGAAAGAGGGGGATTATGGAGAGTTTAGGAATTTGAAATCTATCTGGAGGACCATGGTGACCATTCAGTCTATGAAAGCACGTGACTCATTAGTTCTGTTCTAAAAGGCTGAGATGCAACACTTTTCTGTAACACTGAATGGCCTGTTGATTACCCTTTAAAGGAAGCTCCATGGTGTTTCAGAGGCTGGGACTTGGCTTGGCTGGGGGTAGAGGGTAGAAGGTTGTAGTTAGGAAGCTTTAAGAGCTATCTGGGAAGGGTGAGACACACTGAGGCCTAGGGCCATCTTTATTGCAGGCTCGCCTATTGGCATGTTCAGTCTGGCTCTGTGCCTGGGTCTCTGGGGGAGATGGGCTTGCTGTTTCAGGAGGCGTGGAGCTCTGTCTTGGGCTAAATGGTGCTTGCAGTGTGACTCTTTTCTACTCATAAGCTCCTCACATGGTGTGTGGGGTGGCCTTAGGTGACCTCTCGTATAGCAGGGTGACAGAGAGCCCTGGTTGCCCAGGGGTAAGTCAGGATGTTGTTGACACTGCACAAATTAGCTAAATGCCTTTGTGCCTCATTTTCTTTTTTCAGCTAGAAAATAGGGAAAATCAAAATATCTTTCAAGTAAAATTATTACGAGGATTAAATGAAGTAATACCTGTCATACAGTAAAAGCCCACTAAATGTGAATAGCTATCTGGTGTCCGTTCGTTCTAGTTAGAAAACTAGGAATACCACAGGGCTGTGACAATAAGAAAACATTTATAAGTAATCTTTAGACATCGTGTAATTACCACTTAATTATGATTTATACCAAAAAGAGATTCTAAAAGGTCTCCTTTGTTAATTATTGAAGGACCCATTTTTCTTTTTCTGGGATCTAAACAATGCTCACAGATAACAATAAACTGATAGAACTGCGGGTAGCTGTTCTAATTGAAAGTGAAAGCGGCAAAGAAGTTAACAGGCATTCTCTCAGGAAAGGGCAAATCAAGGAGTCCCTCAGCTATTAAGTCTGTTCTTCTTTACCTATGATTGTCATTCTGACTTTAAGATGATCACTAGTAGTCTTATATCCCAAATGAGGAGGAGAAAAAGTCAGTACCAGGAAGAGCAAGGAGAAGTGAAATGGGAGTTTCTGGGGGAAGGCAGCAGGCTCAGTCGCCCGGTTCCCGCATCTAAGACCATGCACTTGCATACAGCCTATTATATTCCTAGACCTATGTGTTTGTGGGTTGCAGCATTTTAAAAAACTGTTTAATCCCCAGTATTTTTTCTCATATATACACACTCCTGTATGTAATTTTACATGAAGGATGAACTGCTTGACATTATGTAGCTTTTCTTTTTAGGGTAAAACCTTGATTTTCCTACCTCCCTTCTTTGGTTGGTTTTTATTTTCCAGTTCCTAGTTGTTACCCTATTAAACATCCAAACAGGCAACTCATGTTTATCTATTTTTATCTACTCTCATGTATACATATATGTACATAATTGATATACATTCAAGGTTGTAAGTATTCTGGCGATTGTTTATTTTGCCAAAAAATGGGATCCTATTGTAACTACCGTATCTTATTTCCTTTACTAAAGATAGCTCATGGCAATCCCTCCAAGTCATCAATTATAGTCATTTTGAGTTTTATTTTTTCTGTTAAATATATATATATATTTGTACATATATATACATATATACCCATGCATACATATGTATATATATACATATACACATACATATATACACATACACATATGTATGTATGTGCACATGCATATATATGCACATACATACACATACATACATATTTATTAGTGGTGTGGCCACTCGGAAGGGTTTATTATGGGAGGGCCATTATAGTTATGATGGTGCAGTCTGCCTCCGCCAGTATTAGGGACCCTGCCGTCCACGGCAATCCAGCCAGGGTTCTGACGGGGTTGCCCATCTGTTAAAGTATTATTTAAAGCAGTAAAATTCAACCTTTTTGGTGTACAATTCACTGAGTTTGAACAAGCATATATAATTGTGTAACCATCAGAAAACTCAGGATATAAAAAAATTCCATTCTCTCCCTAAATCAATACTGCTTTGCAGTCAATACCCATCTCATTTCCAGCCACCAGCATCCACTGATCTGATTTCTGTCCCTATAGTTTTTCCTTTTCCACAGTGTCCTATAATTGGATCCTACAGTATGTAGCCTTTGGAGTCTCTGGTCAGAAAGTGGCCCCTTTCGGAAGTTTAAGGTGCAGCCTCAGGTAGTTTCCTCACGTCCATGTACTGGTCAGTAGTCAGGTGGAGATTTGCAGGAGGGGGAGACTGCACATCTCTGGAGCTCTACCTTTGCAGCTCCGTCCTCTTGGAATGAACTCGAGGCACCTGAGTCTCCTTCTGGCTCCCACCTTCCTACATGGCGGCCAGAAACTCTGTTTAGGCAGTAAGCTGGGGAAATTGTATGGCTTAGCTCATTTGTTTTCCCTCTCTTAGAGATCATTAACCCGTGATCTTATATTCTCATTGTTCTACATAAACCATTGTCTAACGCATTGTGTGTGTGTGTGTGTGTGTGTGTGTTTGCTAGTTCAGGAAGACTAAATCTTGTCCCTGATCTCAGCCTTGCCTAGAAGTAGAAGAAGCCTAATTTTTCTGCTAGTTTGCTTCATTTCTTTGGTCTGGATATGCCAAAATGTATCTAGCTGTCCTCCTATTGAGTGACAATATCATGACAATGCTGCGAAATCCATTCTTCTACACATTTTCTTATATAGGACGCTTTCAATTCTATGCAATAAATAACTGTGAGTGAGACTACTATATTTTTACAGAAAGATGTACTTTCCCCCCCAATTTTTTTTTTAAAGATTATTTATTTATTTATTTTGAGAGAGAGAGAATGAGAGAGAACACATGAGAGGGGATAAGGTCAGAGGGCAAAGCAGATTCCCTGCCGAGCAGGGAGCCCGATGCGGGACTCGATCCAGGGACTCCAGGATCATGACCTGAGCCGAAGGCAGTCGCTTAACCAACTGAGCCACCCAGGCGCCCTCCTCCCAAATCTTAATACTTAAAATTCCATTGGCAAAATAGGATTGCTTTTTTCCATTTGTCTGTCAGCAATATGCATTATATTCTCTTAAATTCTTCTAATTGGGCGCCTGGGTGGCTCAGATGGTTAAGCGTCTGCCTTCGGCTCAGGTCATGATCCCAGGGTCCTGGGATCGAGTCCCACATCGGGCTCCCGGCTCAGTGGGGAGCCTGCTTCTCCCTCTGACCCTCTCCCCTCTCATGCTGTTTCTCTCTCGCTCGCTCTCTAAAAAATAAATAAAAATCTTAAAAAAAAAAAATTCTTCTAATTTGTGGGTATAAAATGATTGCTTATTTGTAACCTTTATTTGTATTTTATTGAAAAATGATCTTTTCAAATGTTTCTAATTTCTCAGTCAACTTAGATCATTATTTTCTCTAAATAATATTCTGAAGCTTTTAGCGTATAGATTTTAAAAATATTTTGCTAATTTTTTTTAGGTTTTTGATATGTTTGCAGCTATTATAAGTTATATTTTAAAAACTTTTGGTTGTTGCTGGTATATAGAAATGCAATTATATTTTTAAATGTTGACCTTGTATCTAATGACCTTGCTAATTTTATTTATTATAGCTAAGAGTATATACATGTGTGTGTGTGTGTGTATATATATATATTTATTTTATTTTCTAGGTTCACAATTATTTTCTCTGCAAATAATGACAATTTTATTTCCTTTTTCTAAATCTTAAGTCTTCTGTTTTTTCATTGCACTGGCTAGTAACTCTGGAAAAGTGTTGAATATAACTGGTGATAGCTGCTCTACTTCTCTTGTTCTTATTTCAGAAGAAAATTGTCAACAATTCAACCTTAGGTACCATATTTGCTGCAAGATTGTTTTGCTTTATTAGATAAAGATGTTCCCTTCTATTCATAACATGGTTTTGTGTGTGTGTGTATACACACACACACACACACACATATATATATGAATCTATGTTAAAATTTGTCAGATTTTTTTTTAGTATCATCATATCATCATCATATTTTTTGTTTGTTCATAAGGTGAATTTTTCAAATATTAAACCACCTTCTCGTTCATGAACCAAATCTCATTTGGTTGGTTTTGTTTGTTTATGCATGATTTTTTATTCTAGATGGTAATATTGATTTATGATATTTGTATCTATATTCATTATAAGGTCTGGTCTCTAATGTTTTCACATCATGTAAGGAGTCCCTCCTAAACCATTGCATTAAAAGCAGGTGCATGCTTCATAAAAGATGAGGTTGAGGCTGGCATGGACAGTTTAATGCATGGAGGCTGACCCCCTCTTTTCTTTAATTCTTATACTGTGTTAGTCATGTTGCCCCTCTGGGGTGTGTGGGTGTACAGGAGTTTTGCAATATGAACAATTTGGATTACCAGGAACCATCTCCTTGATACACTATGATTCTGTAGTTCTCTTAACTAAGTACATTCTGCACAGCAGACTTATAAGAAGGTAAATCCAGAGACATTTTTCTAGAAGTCCTTGAGTCTAGGCTCAGAGTTCAGATTCTGTTTACCCTGCTCTTATAAATATTAGTCTGTATTATTCGTTTTCTAACTCTTTAAAGTTCTCTTAGGATTTTATTTAGCTTTCAAATAAATTTTCACTAAATATTTTGATAATATCTTTCCATCTAAAAATATATCTTTCTATTTAATCAGAGGGTTAAAGTTAAAAAATAACTTAATAATATTTCTTTGTTTCCACTTACCTTACCAAATTCTCTTATTAATACTTGTCATTATTTAAAAATAGAAGCTTTGGGATTTTCTACTTTTATGATTGTATTATTGGCAAAACATGAGAACTCTATCTCTATTTTCTATTGTTTCTACTGAGTATATTATTTTCTTGACTTTTATATTCACTAGGCCTATAAGATAATGTTGGTCTAAGGTAATATTATCTGCGATTAATAATGATAGAAATCTCTAGTTTCTCATTTTAATTAAAACAGTTTTGTTGTTTGCCATTTAGGATATTTATTTTGGGGTTGATCATTAGTCTGTATTTAATTGTTTACTTTTAATATTTTCTTAAGATTTCTTTTTATTGGCAATGGCTGTTTTTTCCACAGTCTTCTCAGTATTTGTTGATCTGAGTCTGACTCTACCTTGTAATTTGTTAATCTGATTGACTGTGTTGATAGAGTAGCTAAATTAAACTCAGCTTCCATTCATGGAAAGCTCAGATTGATCAGGACATATAATTTTTTTGATAAGGATTTCAAATGCAATTGATAACTTTTTAATTACAATTTTATATCTATGATCATGAGTGACATTGCAGTTTATTTTTTATTTTCCTATTTCTGTAACTTTTAGATTAGAGATATCTGGCAATGTAAAATGAGTCAGGGAGTTCTCCATATTCCTCTAAGACTTCAGGTCCCTTGAATAATGTTACAAGTATTTCTTAAAAACTAAATAAAACTCAACCGTGGATTGAGTTTTATTTATTTCCAGTAGATTTTTTTAAATCACTTTTCCAGTCATTTTTGTGGTATACCGAATTGATTCAAATCTTTTGCTCCCTTTAGAATTTGGAGTTTTAGTTTATATGTCCCATCCTTTATTGACTGCTTGTTTGAAATTGTATATATTGTTTTTAAATTACCAGGGGACTAGGATCTTTGAATATTTGTTAATTTGTAGAATTCTGATTAGTCTTTTAAAAGTATTCAATTGAATTTTAGTTGAACCTAAGGATTTTTAAGATGGAATAATTTTTTCAAAATCCTCTTTTCCTATGCTATTCTTTCATAGGTGAAACAATTTAATGAGCTTATATAGTTTCTATCATTCTTGGTTTGAAATTAGGGAATAATAGCTTTTATTCTGCCCTGTTAGTTTTGGGATGTTAAAGCCCATATAGGGGTGCCTGGCTGGCTCCAGTCAGTGGAGCATGTGACTCTTGGTCTCAGGGTTATGAGTTCAAGCCCCACATTGGGTGTGGAGCCTACTTAAAAAAAAAAAAAAGTCCATATAAACTGGTTCTGTTTTTCTCAGTCAGAGATGATACTGCTGATTTGCAACCTTGGTTGTTTGGTTAAACACGTGGTGGTAACTATAAAATAATACATTTTAATTCTGAAATCCTTTCCTTTCCATGTAGTCAGCCTTGACCTATATCTAGGAAAATCACCTTTTGAATATGGTATTTTTCAGTCAAAATTGTCCATTTTCCTAGTTGCCCATCACTTCGTGATTATCAAAGGGCGGGATCAGACCTTGACATTGTTCTGCGTCACCTTCCTTGTAAATTTTCAGTATTCAGTGAAGCTACCCCTGACAGCAGTTCAGGAATGTGTGATCTTTTGAGCTGCAAAAGAGATGTTATCCCCCTGTACTTTTGCCATGAGCGCGTCCACTGTAGTTAAAATCTAAAAGCAGTTATTTTGTTAACACTCAGATTAGATCTTTAATTAAGCTTTCATCCCCACTAGCACAGACAATGTCAAACATGTAAGCCTCGGGAGAAACCCAACTCATTCCACAGCCTCGCATCCTTCAGTACTTTGTGAAGAAACTTAAAAACAATGTTCTCAGGAGAATTTCATAAGGGTGTGTTGACTATCTAATTGTAAGCTTAGAAGCTTCGTTTAACTTGATTTCAGACTCTATTTATGATACCAGTTAAGCCTATAAACATGTTTGTTTAGGGGATTTGGATCAAGAGCTTGTTTTTATCAATTGGATTTTTTTTTTTTTTTAAGATTTTATTTATTTATTTGACAGAGACACACGGGGAGAGAGGGAACACAAGCAGGGGGAGCGGGAGAGGGAGAAGCAGGCTTCCCGCGGAGCAGGGAGCCCAATGCGGGGCTCGATCCCAGGGTCCTGAGATCATGACCTGAGCCAAAGGCAGACACTTAACGACTGAGCCACACAGGCACCCTGGATTTTATTTTAGATATTTAATGTTATGCATATGAAAAACTTGGTCATCTACAGGGCTAAATGGTAAATAAGTAAAAACGTGTAATTTTCTTGAGGTGATTGACAGTTGATAGTGTGCAAGGATAAGATATTAGAGTAAAGAACTGCTAAATGTACAATAGTATCTGTGTGACTTTTACTTTTTTTTTTTTTTTGTAGGATCATTCATTTATTTCAGATCCCATCAATCTCAAGGAGTAGCCAAGCTCGGAAGTCCTATTCTTACAAAAGCACTCACTGCCTCTACCGCATGTCAGGTAATCAGTTATTGGAACTTCCCTTGGCCACTCTGTGGTTGTAAACTGTTAGACGTGGGTTACCTGTGCCAGTAAATGCCTGCTATGTTTTACTGCCATTTTCTGATGACCTGAGAGATTTATACGAGCTATGTCAAGAAGAAATGTCATGTCCTTCCAAAAGACCATTTGCAACATGTAACTTAAACGGTTCTTCTTTGGGGCCCATTAAAGAATATTTCTGTCATTTTGTGTTCTTTCCACATAGTCCTTCCAGTAAGCCAAAGCTGTGGATACATGTTGTCAAAACTGCTGATTATTTTGGCCAACGGTGTTAATTGAGTAAAATAAATAAGCCAAACAAGTGCTTGCTGAAAGGAAGATGAAAGGGTGAATAAAGAGAGAGACATATGTGCAGAAAAAATAATTACATCTTCTGAAATTTTATTTTTTCAATTAGTCTTTGTGGTGCCGAGTGAACATAGAGCAAGTGATATATGCTCAGTCCATTTCAACAACACCATAGAGAAGAAAGCAGAGAAGGACTTCGGAGTCAGACAGACCTGGTTCAAACCTCAGTTCTGCCACAGATTATATATCCTCTCTTTGAGACCCCATGTCTACACTGGAAGTGTAATAGTAGAGTGCCTTTATCACATGGTTGTCAAGATTAAGACATCATTGAGTAAAGTATGTGGCACATAATAGGTGTTCGCTAAGCAGAATTCCTTTATTTTTCGTAGAACTAACACCTACATTTAGATGTTTCTGTTCAGCTTGCCTTGTTTTCTGTCTTTTTGAGCATTCCAGCAAGCCTCGAAGCCCTCAGGATTTCAGTTTATTTAATTTTTTTGGTTATCAGAAGACCATGCAGATCGATACTGCTGCACACTAAATTCATTATCTGTAAATGTGGGGGGTACAGCAGTTTATTCAGGCATTCCTGCTGACAAATCACCCATTGTTCAGAGGAATAAATCTAATTATGTGTTCAACTTGATATAAATCTGAATGGGAGTGCTCAGATCTCTTAATGGATTGTCTTCTCTCTCTCTCTCTTTTTTTTCTTCCTCATTCTTTCCTGCCCATTTCTTTGGGGATTATATTTAAAATGACTGCCTGGACTTCACGTCCACTCTGCCCAGATGCACTCTACACTTGCTCACCTTTGTTTTATTTCAATTAAATCCTATGTGATAGATACAGATTTTTTTTTGAAAACTCCTGAGGTATTTACTCACTCTGTAAAAGTACTTTACAAGCTTACTTCGCCTTAATTCAAGGTCATAAACCGAAGAGAGGTGATCACCGTTGTTACTTACATAGGCATTGGATACAAAACAATAAAATGTATTAATTCTACTTGTTCTGCAGAAATTTGAAAACAAATATTAAGAGCTTATTAGAAATTCCTGAGATTCAATGATTTTTTTCTTTTTAAAGGTTATCCACATTTTCCATTGTTGTATGCTGGTAGCCATTAATTTGTGTTGATTTGGTTTATGTTTCAACATATGATTGTTTCTACTTGGGGGCATTTTTCTCTATTGTTGCTTAAACTTGGAGTTTAGCTGTGGTGGGGCCTCAGTGAAAGCCATGGGCATGTTTAGACAACTTGCTGATTTATTTCTCAGAACCAGTACTCAACCTCCCAAGGCCTCAAATGCTGAGTTAGTGGTTTGCCGTGCTTTTTAGAAAAGTAAGAGTGTTTCAGGGAGCCATTCCAGACTGCCAGAAGAGGTTTTTTTCCTTTTTTTTCCCTTTGTATCTGCTTGAATGTTAGTACTTTTGAGTTAGAGGGATGGATATTTGGGTTACTTTTATAATACTTTTTGGTCTAGGAAGTAGAATTAGACAGCTAGAGAAGGTTATCTATAGTCTGAGATACACATAGTTTAATGTTCTTTCCCAAAGGAGTATTCTAAGAATATAGTATTACTTTTTTACAAGTCTGTGGTAATGTGTGATACTTTCTTTCATAAAAGTTATGGAATAAGCAGACAACCAAATTCTTATCTTATTGAGTAATCAGAAAATCCAGCCGATCTTCCTAAGTGGAACATATTGATAATAGTTATATTCATGGAATAGCAGATGTTAGTCATTATACAATGGTGAAGTTAGGCGGGGAGATAACTGAAGTTGGGTGCTTTGATATGATTAAAGTCTTCATTTTATGAAATTACATTTTTTCCTTACATAATCATATGAAGCTAATATAGTTCAGAACTTTTTTTTGAAAGGACTTTAAAACCATGAAGCTTTCTTTTGAGTCTCCTTTTCTAACAAGAGTCTAGTAGAGTCATTTTGCATGAATTATCTTGTGCTTTATGTATAGCCAGCACATGGCATCAACACGCACAAATTTTCCTACACCCACTCCTTGCCGAAGATGTGGACTTTAATTTAAAGACTTCAAAAGTCCCTTCAGTCACTGTTGGAAACTTGGCATTTTTCCATGGAATAGCCAGGAGATAGGACAAACAGAACACATGGGAGCCAGAAGCTACTATTTCTTATGTTGAAATGCTGTTACTGTTTTGAATTAACTAGGAAATATCAAATATGAAGGAGATTTATGGTAGGTATTAATACTTTCTGAATTCTCATATTTGGGTTACTATGCAAAATTACTTTTAGGGCTTCACAATTAATTAAAGACAGGAAGATTAATACAAAGCTTCTGCTTTCAAAGCTGGTTTGCATATTTGTCTACTTTAAAAACAATTCCCCAACTTGTTTTGCACTTGTTTTAATATTCTTTAATTTTAAAAAATCTTAAAATTTTTTAAAAAGGTGAATGAGGTTATAAGGGCAAAGGTTGAAGCAAGAGGTGGGTTGGTTCCACACATAAAGCTTATTAGAACCAGGCTACACATTTGAACTAAGTTTTCCAGCAACCAGTAGAAACAGATGAATCATTGTTTGATTTAGATTCAAGGCAGTAAAAATAGCAAAACAAAGCAAAAATAGTTCTTTTGAGAATTCTCTCCTGAGTGCATATAGTGGTAACAATGTAAACAGTCTTTCTCTGCTTCTGTACCCACATATTGCTTACCTGCTCTGTGCTGATCACAGCCCCCGATGCTGGGAATACAACAGAGGCCACTTAAGTACATGCTTGCCCTAATGAAATGTCGATTTTAGGGATTCTGACAGCAATTCAGTGTTAAGTGCTCCAAGACGGTGAGTACAGCATAAAAATAATAATCCACTTAGAACCATTCTCTCGACGAGTTTTGAAAGGCCATGTCTTCTAATGTTTCCCAAGTGAACTCATGTCAATGAGAAATTTAGTAAAAAAAAAAAAAAAAAAAAAAAAAATTACGGAGTGGGGCTTGCAATTGTGTAATCATACTTCATTCCCTGATTGTTTTGTTTAATCCAAGCCTAGATGTTACAGTATGGGATGGATTCTAGAGGAATCGACAGAGTATGGGGAAAAGGGTGAGCAGGTACTCTTTCCACCTGTGCATGAGCAAAACACATGGAGGCTAATCATTTAAATGAAAACAACATATTTTATTGAAGATTCTAAACTTCTAATTAAGCTTATTCAGATGAAGAATACTCAGGCAAAAACATAATTATGACTAGGAGTTAGAAAAGTCTAATGTTGAGGGTGTGTGTGTGTGTGTGTAATGTTGAGGGTGTGTGTGTGTGTGTAGTGTTGAGGGTGTGTGTGTGTGTGTGTGTGTGATGAATGATCCCCCTCTCAACATGGACTTAGTCCCAGCTGAATTTTGAGGAGCTACAATATATCATCTTTTCTCTCTCTTCTCTCTTTTATTTTTTCTTTTCCCTTCCTTTCTTTCCTTTTTTTCTATTTTTATTTTTCTAGATACTGAAGATAAAACAGGTGTCGCACATACTAGACAGGATCCTATGTGAGGCAGAGAAGGCAGAAGTAGCTGAGCATTTGGAATACGGCTGAGAAAGAGCTTGACGATCTGGCCAGGGAGTTCTGAGATAGGGGAGCAGTTGAAAAAAAGACTGTAGGAAAGTTGAGGAAAGAAGCAGAACCTTTGAAGAGTAGAGTTGCAGCTGAACACGGACCAAAATCAAATGAAACAGAAATAGGAGGAAATTATTTTAAACTTGTAGATAATGCCCTGGTAGGTCCTTCACAGAGTTAAGTATCAGAGAGCCTAATTACTCCTTTGTAGAGCTGGCTGCACACTCCCCTGGTCAATGTCACAGGGCGCTGTAGGAACAGAAGGGCAAGTGGTGTGACCATGGCTATCACGCTTTCCAGCTCATGCGCCTGTACTCATAACTCTTAGTATTATCACCTGAAAAGCTGTCCTTTCCTTTTGTAGTAAAAATGAATGATTGGATATTTTATTTTTTTAAAGATTTTATTATTTGAGAGAGAGAGGCAGAGCACAGAGGAAGAGTGAGAAGGAGAAGCAGGCTCTCCGCTGAGCAGGGAGCCCTATGTGGGTGGGGCTCGATCCCAGGACCCCAGGATCATGACCTGAGCCGAAGGCAGATGCTTAACCTACTGAATCACCCAGGTGCCCTGATTGGATATTTTAAAAAATATATAAATAATGCACAGTTCGAGAATACAGTTTAAGCCAATAGAATAGTCTATGCTTCATTTTTTTTTCTCTCTGATTTGCAGTTAAAGGAACTGCTTTGTGGGAAGCTTTTTTAACCAAATGAAATTGTCTTGATTACAATAATTCAGTGTCTATATAAAACGTTCCTTAGGGCACCTGGGTGGCTCAGTCGTTAAGCGACTGCCTTCGGCTCAGGTCATGATCCCAGGGTCCAGGGATTGAGTCCCACATCAGGCTCCCTGCTCGGCGGGTGCCTGTTCTCCCTCTCCTACTCCCCCTGCTTGTGTTCCCTCTCTCACTGTGTCTCTCTCTGTCAAATAAATAAATAAAAATCTTAAAAAAAAAAAGTGCCTTAGTGAAAAACCAAGAGAAATAAAACCAAGCCTTTAATATTAACATTTATCTGACTGCATTTTTTTTTTTTTTTTTTTAGATTTTATTCATTTATTTGAGAGAGAATGAGATGGAGAGAGCATGAGAGGGGGGAGGGTCAGAGGGCAAAGCAGACTCCCTGCCGAGCAGGGAGCCCGATGTGGGACTCGATCCAGGGACTCCAGGATCATGACCTGAGCCGAAGGCAGTCGCTTAACCAACTGAGCCACCCAGGCGCCCTGTCTGACTGCATTTTAATGAATCAGGCATGAATCATGAAAATAATTTCCTTTTGACATAAGTAGTAAATACATTTTAAATGGTTGGTGTAATTTTAACATACCTGTTTTGTAGTTCTGTTTAATAGAATTTTCTGTGATAATGGAAGTTTTTCTCTCCTGTGTCCAATATGGTAGCTGCTAACTGCATATAGCTATTGGGCACTCAATGTGTAATGAGTATAACTGAGGAACTGGGTTTTTCATTTGGTTTCACTTCAATTAATTTACATGTAAATAGCCACACAATTATCACACCTTTGCCACGACATTATAGTTAATTGTTTTCTTTTCATTCTCCCCCATAAAACTCTGGGGTCCCTAAAGACACCTAATACTTTGTACCTTTTCTGACACTGAGCAGCTTCCTTCATGCTCTCTGGGAAAGTTTACAGGTGTTTACTGACCCGCTCATGCTAATAGTCCCACTCATCCCTCCCTTCTTCTTTAAAAAAAAAAAAAAAAACTATTAACTGAAAACCTACTAAACACAAACTGCTTTAATAGATTCCGCGAGGAATTCACGACACACCTTGTGATTTTGGGTTCATGGCTTCGTGTTCCACTGGCGTGTATCAGATTGAGAGCTGCAGGAGTTGCACGCTTGACAAGTGCCTGTCTGGAATCACAGCTGTATTAATGACTTGGTTCAGTGACTTCACCCTACCAGTATTAATTTTGAAAACAACTATGGAAGATTTCTTCGTCTATAATAAGCTAAAGAGTTCTGCTTAATGGTCTGTGATGGCAACTCTGTTAAAGTAGTAAATTAAATATAAGTCTTAAGCTTTTATCCTATTAAATATGGATCCCATTGGTATTTACTCTTATTACACTATTAAAATACATTAGCACTGGTGATGTACTGAATGACAGTTTGACAGCTTGGTATGCTGACGGGGCATGTGTATCTCTTGTACTAAGTTTAAAGCCCTGGTTTGCATATTTACAAGCTTGGAATGTGCTGAAACTCTAGCACGGATCTAAAATTTAATTGTAGTTGAGGAACCTAAATCCTTCCTTCCCATAGGATTTGATCAAACACTTCCATCTGACTTTTCATTTCTCAATTACCTGTCTTGCTTATCTGAGTTTAGGGGAGCATGTTAGTAAAGTCTAAAATGAAGCGGACAGAATTTTTTGATGAAGTGGTGATAGTTAAGTAGACACATTAAAAAAGGTGTACCACACTGGAACAGAGAATGTTTGCTCTTTTAAGCTATACAACTTTTTAAAAGCACATCTAAAAAATTATTCGACTTCAGGGGCACCTGGGTGGCTCAGCCAGTTAAGCATCCGACTCTTGATTCTGGCTCAGGTCATGATCTCAGGGTGGTGAAATTGAGACTTGCATTGGGCTCCATGCTCAGTAGGGAGTCTACTTGAGATCCTCTCCCTTTCCCTCTGTACCTCCCCCTGCTCGCACTCTCTCTAAAATAAATCTTAAAAATTTTTTTTCTACTTGAATTTCCACTGAAATTGGTACCAACCATAAAATAAATGAGGAGACTATATATACACTAATATCTGTCCATGTAACAAAATAAAACCATAGTGGTGAAGGAAAAAAGCCCACAAGAATTTAAAATTCACTGCAACTGAAAAGGAGTCACTTTGAATCCAAAGAGAAGGGTTTTACTTCTGAGAAGCCTCATCTGTGAATGCTGTGTTTTCTTAGAGAGTCCTAAGGCTGCACTTTTCAAAGAAATCTTGAGAAGAGGGGCACCTGGGTGGCTCAGTTGTTAAGCATCTGCCTTCGGCTCAGGTCATGATCCCAGGGTCCTGGGATTGAGCCCCACCTCAGGCTCCCTGCTCCGCGGGAAGCCTGCTTCTCCCTCTCCCACTCCCCCTGCTTGTGTTCCCTCTCTCGCTATGTCTCTCTCTGTCAAATAAATAAATAAAATCTTAAAAAAAAAAAAAATCATAAGAAAAAAATTGCTGTGTGTCTGAACTTGTTTTTAATGGAGATTTTGTTGACATATTTTATAGAGTGAATCATCCAGCCATTGAGGGAATTAATCCCTGCCTCACACAGTACCTGTTACTTAGTAAATGCTCATTAAATGTTGCTTGAATAAATGAGAGTCCTGAATTTCATGTAGTAGCTATTGCTGTCAGCACCTAAAATAATTCTTTATTTTTACTGCCTAGTTAAGTGCTCAAACCCTTAGATTGTCATCCCTGATAATGACTAGGAGGTGAAATGATCACCCCCCCCAAAAAAGGATGTTTTCTTACTTGAATTAAATTATGAACCAACAGTATTACATGAGCTCCCAAGTTCTTTGATAGTGTCCCCATGAGAAGGAATTAATGAAAACTACTCATTACAGTTTTCTTTTACCTGAGAAAATACTTTTTCAGGAAACACTTTTTTTTTTTGGTTTGGTGTTTGAGACATCAATGAGAATGTATAAGTAAAACCTGATTTTGTACATTAAGAATATATACCTCCATCGAAACTTCTGTGGAAGCAGAGTGGTACCGCCCATGCTGGTGTAGAAAAATACATGTCCTCAAACTTGTCTTGGTGGTGAGCTAACGTCCCATTTCTTTAGACCTCTTGATGGCATGTGTTAAAAATACCAGTTAGAGCTGCCTTGAACCTTTTCTTAAGGGGAGGATGCAAAGGCAGACAAAAGACATACTTAGGATTTTCTGGGCTCGCGTATTTGGAGGAAAGGAGAATTGAGATTATATTTAACAGCAGAATGATTTTTGATATTTTTAATTATAGAAAAGTTGCTGGAGACCAGTAAATGGAATATTCATGTCATTCAAAAACATTTTCAACAGGTGCAATTTTGGTATCATTTGTCCTGGGATTCACATCTCTCGGTTTTTACAAGAACATCACTGGATGGGGATTTGCAAAAACAAGGTGATCTAATTGGAATCTCCAAATCTCAGTGGAAACAAGCAAAAATCAATCTCTGTTTGGGGGCTGGAGAATCTACTCTACCTTTTCAGGTAAGCAAGCACAGAAGAAATTAATACAACTTAGCAGAAGATGCTAATTTAATACTACTTTTTTTCTCAGAGAACAATGTAACACATAAAAAACACATATATCCCATAGATTTATCAGCTATTGAAAAAGGAAGCACATTCACAATCAGAGATGAGTACAGATGTTAAATTGCTCAAGACTGTTATATGGATGCTTAGCAAAACTGGAGATTAGAATTGAATTGGAGGAGGAGAAAACAGAATTGAATAGGATGGCAGAGAGAAAAGTATTTTAATAGGAAAATATTTATTTTTTAAGTGAGGATGGCAGATTATATGAGGTGGTGAAAAAACCTGACTTGCACTATGCTCACATTTTAATTCTGATGCCTTATTTTCTGCCACCCATTAATATTGAGATTTTTTTAAATCTATTTTTTATGTCATTTTCTTGGCTCATAATAAAAGAAGGCAACTGTAGGTAATCAGATTGGTGCCTGAATTTTCACCCTCCTGGATATGGCTTCCTTCTGGATGACATTTGAAAAGAGTGATTTTAGAAACTAGATTGGATGATAGAATATAGCAGAAAACACACAGCCTTTGGAGTTAGGTGGTCTGAGTTCTGATCTCTGCTCAGCTCATGGGTTGCTAAGGGACTCCAAATTACATCTTTGAGCTTCACATTTCCCTATCTGTGAAGACCACAGAGATGGTAAAAGCAATACTTCAGGGGAGTCTGAGTATTAAAGATAAAGGTAAAATGGTGGCTCCGAACATGGGCTCTGGAGTCTGGAGTTCAAGCCAGGTGTACAATCATGGAGAAGTTGCTTAATCCCTCTGCACTTGTTTCTTCTGTTAAATGGAGGTGAGAGTCATTGTTGGGGTGTTAGGGGCCCCCTAATAAATAACTTAACCTCCTTGGTCCTCATTTCTGAGCCAGTTAAGATAAATATAGAAGTCAAACAGTAAAATATTTTAGAGAAGATGCTTTTAGAATCTGCCGCCATAGGTTTAAATAACACATCACCTCAGAATAAACAGATTCACCCAGAGAACAATGAACTGTGCTAGAGAAATCCAGGACTCACCCGTTGGGGGAAACCTATGACTCTTAGCCAGAGCTAACATCAGAGTGTATGTGTCCAAGACTGGGAGTTGAAGGAGAGACAGACAGCATGAGTTTAGCACATCCAGCTTATTCTTCTAACATCACTAATTGGTTAAATCCTCCTGTCCACAGGAGAGAGTAAGAGGTCGGTAATAGCAGTGTTACTGCAAGTTCCTGCCCATGGAGGTAGAAGGAATAGGGAATAAATATGGACTCCTTTCAGTATCCTCTTCTTTCTAGAACTGTTGTGAGGATTGAATGATTTATATATGTAAAGCACATAGAAGATATTCTGGCATAAAGTAAACACACAAAGTTAGCTCTTATTACTGCCGTGATTATCAGTTGGACATTGTCTGGGAATAATAGACACTCAGTAAATATTAGTATTCTTTATTTTGCAAAGGAGTTTCCTCTTGACCAGAACTCTAGGCTCAGTGATTAGAAGCTCCTTCATTCTGTGAAGGTCTCTAAACTCCCTGATTCTCAAGGATCACGTTTATGACTATACTCCCATATCTAATGGACAAAAATACTGTGAATCTAGTAACTCTTAATAGGAAAGCAGTAAAGGCCAGTCATGGAATCACATAAGTGCCAATCTCCATTACGTGTGACAGGACAAACAAAATCAGAACAGTTCTGATCCCTTGCTTCATTTATTTATATTCTGTATAACATTATTTTCATTAGGTTTGCTTTTAGTTAGAATGAAACTTAAAGATCTTCAAGAGTCCATTGTTAATTCACATTATTGGAAATTAAACATAATGTCCTTCTCCAAACAAAAACCTGCGTGTGAATAATGATTCTTGATTTCCTTATGATTGCCCAAACTTAGAAGCAGCCCAAGATGTTCTTCAGTAGGTGAATGGGTAAATAACCTGTTATACATCCAGACAATGGAATAACATCTGGTGCTAAAAAGAAATGAGCTGTCAAGTCATGAAAAGACGTGGGGGAACCTCAGGTGCATATTACTAAGTGAAAGCAGCCAACCTGAAAAGCTTACTTCCTCTCTGAGTCTAACTGTCTGGCATTCCAGAAAAGGCAAAACTAGGGAGACAATGAAAAGATCAGTGGTTGCCAAGGGCTGGGGGGTGCAGGGAGAGAGAAAGGATGAATAGATAGAGCAGAGAGGATTTTTAGGGCAGTGAAAATACTCTGTATAATAATATGATGGATAAATGTTATACATTGGTCCAAGCCCACAGAATGTATAACATCAAGAATGGACCATAATGTAGACAGTGGACTTTGGTGGTTATGAGGTTCATCATTTATAACACATGCCTCACTCCGGTGGGAGATTTTTTGTTTGTTTTTTGTTTTTCCGAGAGAGTGGGGGGTGGAGGGAGAGAGAATCCTAAGCAGCTTTCACGCCCAGTGAGCAGCCTGATGCGAGGTTTGATTTCATGACCCTGAGATCGTGACCTAAGCTGAAATCAAGAGTGGAATGCTCAACCAGCTGAGCCACCCAGACACCCTGGGAGATGTTGATAATGGGGAAGCTGTGTGTGCGTTGGGACAGAAAGTGTAGAAGAAAACTACACCTTCTCCTCAGTTTGCAGTGAACGTAATACTGCTCTAAAAGTCTTAATGAAAAACAAAACTAAACCACAATGTATTCTTTTAGAACCAGTTATTTGAGAAATGTTTTGAGTTGAAACACATGCCATTCCTTTCTGGACCTGCAGGCACTCATTAACCTATCACCATTACTGAAGAGATTCAGTGCAGTGTCCTTTTCTTTCCCCTATAGCATTTCTTCCTTTGGGGTTCTGGTTTGTGTTTTACTTTGCTTTGCAGTGCAAAGTGAGTTTGCTCTTTATTACCTGGGGCATATTAACTGGTTTGTAGGGTAACCAGTGGTTTGATAGGATTTTATAATTGGGCAGCAGAGGATTTGTGATGTTTTTCTAAAGGAGCCCTGATCTTCGTTCCTGTCTGTGGTGTCTCAGCGCCATGTGTTGGCTTTCCTCTCACCCCCATTGGGGCTCCTAATCCACCCCAATTAGCTTCAGCTTAATTGTGATAGCCTTTGAGGGGAGTGAATGGTTCTGGGTTCTTGCTAGGTCTTATTTTGCCCCTGAGAAGTTTTTAGTCTCTGCCTCTGTCACCCCTTAATTCCGTTACTTGTCTGTAGTATATTTGTTCTAGAAACTGCAGGTAAATAAAGAAGAATAAGAATTCCCTCAGATTTTTTCATCAAGAAGCCCGTTTTAGGTCCACAATCCCTAACCAACAATTTGGAAAATTACAATTTGGAAAACAATAAGCTTTTGAAAAACCAATTTAGAGGCAAAACTTAACTTCACCTGAACTTGTGTGAGGTCTTTAGGCAATTCATTTAGTGAGATGTTTGATTAGATAGGTGCTGCCCCCAATCTCCCTGAGGGTATCATGTAATATACACGGTGTTAGATGAATATTCTCAACTCTGAACTAGTCAAATTTCAAAACCCAGCTGGCCCCAAAGACTTTGGGTAAGGAATTGCAGGCCTGTGTTCACATTCTGGTGTGAATCAGTCCAGAATTTATGCAGACACACATATACACGATACGTAAATATACTCAGTCACACATGAATATATGCCACGATGGTATTTAATACATTATTACTACATATACAGTAAATATTTCAAACAAGTAGAAAATACAGAGGCAAGTATCTTTGTATTCACACCTCAGAATGAACTGTTAGCATTGTTTGCTTATAATGTTAATACCTGTTTGCATATGAACAGCTTTTGTCCTCTTTGCACCCATTTCTATTCCTTTTCTTGTCCTCTGCTGGAAAAAAAATTGCAGATCTTATGTTGGTTTTAACCTGATTTCTGGAAATGCATATTTAGAAACATGGAGCTATGAATGAGGATTCTAGCTAGGTGCAATTCTTCATTCTTTTAGCAACAACAATTGCAAAAGATACTCTACCTATAAACAGTCCATCTAGATTTTTAAAATATTCAATTATTTGAAGTTTACATTCTTAACTAACTGAGCCACCCAGGTGCCCTTGAAGTTTACATTCTTGGGAATGGGCTTCTTTGGTACTTTAGTAGACTGAATCATTGTGACCTTAGTCATCACCTGACTATCCTTCAATGTGACTAAATTCTGAACGTATTTATACAGTGTAGTCCATCCCAAACACTGGAAAGGAGAAAGGCATCAACCCATATGACCTCTATGTCCTCTTCTAGCCATGAACTTCTTTTTCAGTGTCGTCCTTTTGATGTCACTTGTAGACATCACAACAGAGTACAAATCACTTTGAGTTTCTTAGGAAATAAACACCCTTAGGTAGGTAGGGCTTTTATTCTTCCTGGTAGAAAAGGATAAGGCTTACTCTTTATTCCATAAGAACAGCAAATTAGCACCATTTCAATAGTCTCTCCATTTCCTATATTTTTTTTATTGGAAGAATATAAGTCAAATAGTTAATAGTATTCTTTTCAATCTGTTATAACTTGGCCTGCCCATTGGATATGTTGAGTTTTTACAGAAATATACTCACTTCATTTACAGTTTCTTTTTCCCCTAACTGCTGTTCTTAGTTTTAATATCTAAAGGTGGTTCTTGGGCGCCTGGGTGGCTCAGATGGTTAAGCGTCTGCCTTCGGCTCAGGTCATGATCTCAGGGTCCTGGGATCGAGTCCTGCATTGGGCTCTCTGCTCCTCGGGAGCCTGCTTCTCCCTCTGCCTTTCTCTCTCACTCTGTCTCTCATGAATAAAAAAAAAAAAAAAAAAAAAAAAAAAAAAATCTATAGAGGTGGTTCTTTTTCTGAGTACTGTCCATTGATTTCCAGCTGATCTACTTTTTTCAGGTTTCCTATTAATACATAATTGTGTCATATTTTAGATTTCATTTTAAAATGACCCTTTTGTGAAATTTTCCACAATGATTGATAACATGTTCATTCTTTATCAGTCAATGATATAAATCAATAACAATTTCCTGACATTATTTGAGGATTCAGTGAAGGGTAAGATTTATAATACAATAGTAAAAGCTGGTCTAGTCTCTATAAAGTTACAATGTCCTCAGCCTTCTTAATTTAGGACTGCATTGAATATTGTTACACCAGACAGCTCTGGTCTGCAGCATCTGCTAAAGACCAGTTATCTTTTTATTTTATTCTAGTAATGCAGTATAGCCTAATCGTTAATGGCTCAGGTTACATATTTTTCTTATTAAATATATAACCTTCAACCAATTACTTTACCTCTGAAGCTTCTGTTTCTTTTGCTTTCACATGAGGATGAGAATAGCACCACCTTCACAGGGTTAAAACAAGTGAATGTGCTTGGCATGCAGTAAGCTTTAAATAATGTTTGCGGTTTCTCTTATTATTGATAACATCATTAAAAAATTACTATATTCCAGTTTTTCCTATTATATTCCTACTTTCTCCATTTCTTCTTAGATTCCTATTTTTTTGTTCTTGTTATTCCTTTTTTAAAAAGGATATCAAAGAACCAAAATCTAAATATGCTAGTTGAGTTTTTCTCTGGAAAGGCTTACTTTGGTTTTTCAGATATAAAAAGTAATCACTTGATTGTAAGCTACATTTATAAGTTGTTTGGTTCCTGAAAGCAAAAACAAGAAATGATTTTGCTCTTTCACTGAAAGAGCACTGAATAATATCACTGAATAAAACAAATATCAGCAAGATCCTAAAAAATAGTTTTAGAAGGGAGAGACCTTCCAAGACCTAACTTGGAATTTAAATTCACAGATTTCCTTGAGAATCTTAAAAAATGAGGTTTCACTGAATAATATCACTGAATAAAACAAATATCAGCAAGATCCTAAATATAGTTTTAGAAGGGAGAGACCTTCCAAGACCTAACTTGGAATTTAAATTCACAGATTTCCTTGAAAATCTTAAAAATGAGGTTTTCACTTCTTCATTTGTGGTTGAAATGCCCATGGTTGAAACATTTCTTCTGCATGAACTCTTTCTCACTTACTGATTATTAATTGGTTCTGTATTTCCCAAAGGAAAACTGCCTTTGTTCACAAATCAAAAGATCAGCTTAGTTGAAACAAGCAATAAAAAACAGAAATAGCCAAGGTGATTTTGGAATCATCAGATGGTATTATTTACAGATATAAGAAACATTTTTAAAAGAAGTGACCATTTTTCTTTTTAAATGTGGAAGATTTTAATTCATGGTAGAATTATAATTTTTCATTTTAGAGTTCTGAATTTAATTATATAGAAATAAGCAAGCAGAGGTGTAGATGACCTGGTATCATTTTTATCTGGCTTTGGAAGTAGTTTTATGTTAACATTTTAATATGAATATCTGAAAGTCTTGTGGTTCCCTTCAGACAAAATGATATAACCATATTTTACAGACCTAGTTCGCAATTCTATTTCAACTCCTGCCAGGGCCCCACCCCATCCATGTACCTCTTTACAGGCACAGAGAAGTGCCCCAAGCATTCTTTTTTCCCCACTTTTTAAAAAAGTTGTGCAGGGCTTAAAATATGGCCTCAGTAAGGGCTTGTCTAATGAGTCTGAAGAATTAAGCATCTGTATTTTAATTGACTTCAGTCTACTATAATTTCTAGTAATGAATAAAAGGAAAAATCTTTTAAAATTAAAGCTGTCCAAAATAAATTACAATACCTTAATGGTGTTAAGCATAATATATTTTTCAATTACAGTGCCTGTAGATACTTTGTCAAAATCCTTCTTTAAAAACTGTTATTTTCTGCCTTGTGTATGAAGGCCAAATTCCTTAGTCGGTTAAGACTCTACAAAAAAAAAAAAAAAAAAAACCAAAACCAAAAACAAAACAGTTCTAATAAGAATTTTAAAAATCATTATAATTATATACATTTCATCATAAAGTATCAAAAATTCCAGATAAGGCAATAGTCTGTCCTGACCTCCTTCACCTCTTATTGGTCTTTATCTTGAGGTTAGCATAGACATTAGTTCATTTTTACTTCTGGACCCTATTCTATTGATGTAATGTATATGTATGTACCACTATATCTAGAAATCTAAACCATTGTGTTTTTAGCCTAAGTAGTATCCTATCATAAACTTTTTTTTCTGTAATTTTTCACTCAGAAATACATATTGAGGTTCTTTCCATATTAGCACATAGAGATGTTATTTTTAAGTGGCATGGTTACCCATGGTCTGTATAACCATTTATTTTTTTGATTGACATTTAAATTGTTTCCATTTATTTACTTATCAAAACCAACATTGAAGTAAACATTCCTGGACGGGCTTTCACGTATATGCTGATGAGTGTCTCTCTAGCATAAATGCTGAGAAGTGGGCTTAATTTTTGTAGTCTGTGCTGTTTTTCTTTTTAATAGATAACATCAAATTGCCTTCCACTTGAGCTGCACCAATTCTTGCAATCAGTTTGTTCCATCTGTTACTTAATTTATCATTCTCTTAAAATCCTGTATTCCTATGTATGGGAGGAAAACACTTTCCCTGACCCTCTTATGGTTCCTGGCTGGGTCTGAATATTAAACTAAAAAAGTAGATTGAAGGAGAAAGCATACAAAATTATTTAATATAAGCCTTACATGACACTGGAGCCTTAATAAGGACGTAAAGACCAGTTAATAAAGAAACAGTTAATCCTAAGCCTTTTTATGCAAGGTTTGATGAAGAGTGGACAGTCATGGAAAGATACGATGGGGCAAAGAGTATGAGCTAAGTGTAATCAACTGGGAGAAACTTAGCCAGGTAAAGATTCAGATTCCTCTGCTTGTGTGTCCTTTTGTCTTCTGAAATAAGGATGTCCCTTTCCTCCGGTTATAGAGAGGACACCTCTCACATGAAGGAAGATCAGATAGTCCATTCTGCACATGCCATTTCTTAAATTCCTCCAGCTTGAAATACGCATTATGCCAAGGTGTGCCATATTTTGGGGATAGCATGTCTCAAAACCTATCATCCTCTAGCACCCCAAGCATTCTAGTCTATGTGTTGCTAAAGTCAGCATTTCACCCAAAGTGTTCTAAATATACCATACACTTCCACATCTCCTTGCTTTTGCCTGTAATGTTACTAGTTTCTCTAACAAAATCTGAAGTAGCAGTTATAACTGAGTAGCTATTATTAGGTAATTAGTTATTGGTTGTTAGGTAGTTAGTATTTTTAGCAGCTTTTTCCAAATTTTGTCTCACATTCTTGGCAGAAACAATGAAGTGTTTTTCTTCGATTCTCCTAGTATCTTATACGTATCTCTTTGTATAACACTTGTGGTGTAGTTTAGTTGTTAATGCATCATACCAAGTCAATCGTATGATCTTTGGATCTGAGATCCTCTCTGATAAGATCGAGATGCACCACCTACTATGTCCTGCACTGGTGGTCCTACTACACGTCTTTAAGACTCCAGACATAATTTCTCTCTCTCTCTCTTTTTTTTAAGGTGGTAGATTAACCAACATAATGATGTAATTAATGAGAAAGAAAACAAATTACATCAGTCATTATTCAGAGTGTTAGAATAAATTAAACTGAAATAGATGCCTCTGAGTGCTTTAACTTATGAATATTATTAACCACTGTATGTGATTATTGACTCTATGCTTTACCTCATTAAGTAGGTTTCTGTATATATACATAATATGTATTAGTATTTAAATATTCTGATATGAAAATGAATCATTGCCTCCAGCAGACCTTTTACAAATGAATTCATATCTCAATTAAATTGAGTTGTAAACCACACAGTTGATTACCCCAAAGAGCTCATTTTAAATGTATACAACTCTTAATGGCTCCAATGGGAAGGCAACCCTTCAGGAGTGATGAATGTTTCAACTCTTAATTGAAACAAGGTTACCTAAGACATTAAGGTTACATAAGAAGCTGTCAAAGCCGCTTTGACTTTATAAATTTATAATTTGAACTTTCTGGTGAAAACAGTTTTCTAAAATTAGATTGGAAGGTGGGACAGATGCAAATGAGCTTCTCTACACAAAGATATATGATTGTAAGACATTTATGATATATTTTTAATAATTTGTTTTTCTGTAATTATAGTTGATTTTGGAAGCTACTGTTTTATCATCAAATGCTACTGTTGCTCTAGATGACATCAGTATATCCCAGGAATGTGAAATTTCTAATATGTCACTTCCAGGTACCAGCATACTAAAGAAAGGTAAGTTTTTCTTGTGGTCACTGAAGTTTTAAAAATTGAAATAATGAGTTCTTCCTGATACCAAAATTTAAAATAGATTCGAGTCCTGCAGTAATATAGCTCACAAGTAGCTAATACCAGGATGTGGATTCTATTACATGCCTTGAAAACTAAAACATACTTTAAAAATATATATATATATATATATATATTTATATATATATATATGCTGTACAAAACCTAGGCCTTAGAGACTTTTCCAATAATATTCTATGCTTGTGGCTAAAATTGTCACAGTTTTTTAGTTACAGAAATTATGAAATAGTTTTAATTATTTTGCATGTTTTAAAAAAACACTTCCATAAAAATTTAATTCTATTTTAATTTTGCTTGGCAGTTCAAATGATTATGTAATGAAATTTGTGTTTCAGAGTCACCTAGGAGTTCAAAAAACTTAATGTGTTTGGAAAAGTGACTTAAGGCCAGCCAAAAATTTAAATCTTGATTCTAAAACTCTCTGTTTAAATTCAGAACATATATTTTCAAGTAACAGAAGGAGTTTGTCTAATTTTTTGACTAAATATTTTGTAGAGCTTTTCAATTAAGGGGCAGAAAGATTGTTAAAATAAATCCCCAATAGTCAAATAGGCATTTTTGGAAAGTTGAACCATTATTTAGGTTCTGAGAATGGACTGGAACAGTATGCATTGTGCCTCAGTTACCTGTCATTTTAACACTGATTGATGTTTCCCTTTGACCACTTCTACCCCAGAGTCTGTTAGTAAATAGACAACATTAAAGATTTTGCTTGAAAATGATCACATTTTATTTTTCTTTATCTATATACATGAACATTATTTGCATTTAGAAATTAGGCACATCTTATATTCTGAGGTTATGTTTCATTAAACAACATATTTATTAGTAAATGGAAGAGTTGAATTCCTATATGAGCTAAATGCAATAATTGAGGATAATATAGCAGAAACAATTCTGGATTGAGAACTAGATTAAAGAACTTTTAATTAGTCTTTTATTAAAGACCTCTTTCATTGGTGAGATTGTATAATTCTCTCTACTAACTTTATATTGTCCTATGTCTTTACTTTATTCAGAATATGTGTTCTGAACTTAAACCTTTCTAAGCTCTGTGTGTGTATGTGGTTCTGATAGACATTGAGGAATGCAAAGCAGCAGATTAATGATTGAGTTTTTGAGGGTTAACCATCATTACCTTATTTCTGTTATTTAATTAAACATTTTTCTTCTAATCAAATACCGCATCACCAGAATTGGAATAGCAGAAAGTTGACATTGAAGAGAATGTAACTGGAGGCAAGAGTGTGGTTAAAAGTTTTATATTATCACTAAAATTAACCTTAGCAGAAGTCTCTGAGAGTGCTTGATCTCACAGAGAATTCTCTTCAGAAATGAAATCAAAACTCAATTTATGTGTGTTTCATTCCAAACACCATCTTAGTTGGTTAGAGCATAAGTATAATCAGACCAGAATTGTATGAATTTTTCCTGAAAGGCCAGACCAATATTATATGAATTTTTCCTGAAAGGCCAATTACTGTACACAAAGAGAAAAAAAAACTTTCTTACTGTTTTTGCAAATTTGTCCAATAGGTCATTATAAGATCTCCTTTGTGAAATTTACTATTATTACCCAGCAGAGATTTAGGATGGGACTGGAATAGGCGTTAAAAAAATAAGCCAAATCCCACTGGTAATGAATTATGTTATATTTGTGGGGCAGAATGGCTAGAGATTCACCTAGACCCTGTGTTTGAATTAAAAGCCTTTGAAGGCTTTAATCGGCATGCAAATGGCTATAAGACTTCAGAGCAATCCTAGTGCCTCACACATACATTTGAAGCACCGCACACGGGATGAGAAAGGAAAACTGTACTCTGATTTGGCTTTTTTTTATCTAGCTTCTGTGTCTCTAGCATATTTAAAAACTAGGGTTCATAAAATAACTATGCATTCTATTTATTTATTGAAGGAGAAGAGTATGTTTTATCCTCTCCATCTCTTAATTCCGAAGCTGGATTTGTGTCATGGGAGGATGCAGGCTATATTTCATTCAGCAAATTCTGTGATTTTCCATCCGACTGCCCAAATGGAACAGATGAAGCCAATTGTGGTGAGCCAGTACTTTAATCAGTTAGTCCCTTTATTTTTTTTATTTTTATTTATTTTTATTTTTTTTTTTAAGATTTTATTTACTTATTTGTCAGAGAGAGAGAGCACAAGCAGAGGGAGAAGCAGGCTTCCCACTGAGCAGGGAGCCCGATGTGGGACTCGATCCCGGGACTCCAGGATCATGACCTGAGCCGAAGGCAGTTGCTTAACCAACTGAGCCACCCAGGTGCCCCCAGTTAGTCCCTTTAGTACTTAGTCATTTGGCTAAGATTTATGTGTGCACTGGTTCCCCCCCGACCTTATCCACAGGGGATACATTCCAAGACCCCCAGTGGATGCCTGAAACCACAGATAGTATCAAATCCAATGTATGCTATGTTTTTTCCTATACATACATATCTATGATAAAGCTTAATTTATAAGTTAGGAATGGCAAGAGATTAACGACAATAATAGAACAATTATAACAGTGTACTGTAATAAAAGTTATGTGAATGTAGTCTCTCTCTCAAAATATCTCATTGTACTTACCCTTCTTGTGATGATGTGAGTTGATAAAATGCCTGCTTGATGAGATGAAGTGAGGTGAACAGTTAGTCATTGTGACTTAGCGTTAGGGTACTATTGACCTTTTAAAAAAAATTTTAACTCCAGTATAGTTAACATACAGTGTTATATTAGTTTCAGGTGTACAATATAGTGATTCAGCATTTGCATACAATACCTAGTGCTCATCAGGACAAGTGTGCTCCTTAATCCCCATCACCTATCATCACTTATTTCACTATTTCACCCATCTACCCCCCTCCCCGAACCATCCGTCTGTTCTCTGTAGTTTCTTGGCTTGTCTCTTTCTCTCTTTCCCTTTGCTCATTTGTTTTATTTCTTAAATTCCACATATGAGTGAGATCATATGTTATTTGTCTTTCTCTGATTGAATTATTTTGCATAGCATTATACTCTAGCTTCATCCATGTTCTTGCAAGTGGCAAGATTTCATTCTTTTTTATGGCTGAATAATATTCCATTGTATATCTGTACCACATCTTCTTTATCCACTCATCAATCGATGGATACTTGGGTTACTTCCATAGTTTGGCTATTCTAAATAATGCTGCCTTAAACATATGTGTGCATATATCCCTTTATATTAGTGTTTTTGTGTTCTTTGGGAAATACCCAGTAATGGGATTACTGGATTATAGGGTAGTTCTATTTTTAGCTTTTTAAAGAACCTCCACACTGTTTTCAACAGTGGCCGCACTAGTTTGCATTCATACCAATAGTGCACAAGAGTTCCTTTTTCTCCACATCCTCACCAATATTTGTTTCCTGTGCTTTTGATTTTAGCTACTCCGACAGATATGAGGTGATATTTTGTAGTTTTGATTTGTACCTCCCTGATGATGAGAGATGTTGAGCATTTTTCATGTACCTGTTGGCCATCTGGATGTTGTCTTTGGAGAAATGTCTGTTCGTGTCTTCTACCCATTTTTTAATTGGATTACTTCTTGTGTGTGTGTCTGTTGAGTATAAATTCTTTATATATTTTGGATACTAACCCTTTATTATATATGTCATTTGCCAAAATCTTCTCCCATTTAGTAGGTTGCACCAAAAATAATAAGATACCAGGGAATAAACTTAGCCAAACAGGTGAAAGACCTGTACTTTGAAAATGATAAAACACTGATGGAAGAAATTGAAGACCACACAAAGAAATGGAAGAATAAATACTGTTGAAATGTCTGTAGTACCCAAAGCAATCTGTAGATTTAATACAATCCCTATGAAAATACCAACAGCATTTTCCACAGAACTAGAACAAAAATCCTAAAATTTAGATGGAACCACAAAAGACCCCAAATAGTCAAGGCAATTTTTAAAAAGAAAGCTGAAGGTATCATCATTCCGGACTTCAAGTTATATTACAAAGCTATAGTAATCAAAACAGGATGGTACTGGCACGAAAATAGACACATAGATTAATGAAACAGAATAGAAAACCCAGAAATAAACCAATGATTATATGGTCAATTAATCTTCAATAAAAGAGGCAAGAATATCCAATGGGAAAAAGACAGTCTCTTCAACAAAGGGGATTGGGAAAACGGTCAGCTACATGCAAATGAGTAAAACTGGACCACTTTCTGACACTACACACAAAAATAAACTAAAAATGGATTAAAGACATAAATGTGATACCTGAAACCATAAAAATCCTAGAAGAGAACACAGGTTCTCTGTCTTTGGCATCAGCCAAAACAACATTTTTCTAGGTATGTCTCCTGAGGCAAGGGAAATAAAAGCAAAAATAAAGTATTGGAGGGGGAGATGAACCATGAGAGACTATGGACTGAGAAACAAACTGAGGGTTCTAGAGGGGAGAAGGGTGGGGGGATGGGTTAGCCTGGTGATGGGTATTAAGGAGGGCACGTATTGAATAGAGCACTGGGTGTTATACGCAAACAGTGAATCATGGAACACTACATCAAAAACTAATGATGTATGGTGATTAACATAACACAATAAAATAAAATAAAATAAAGTATTGGGACTACATGAAAATAAAAAGCTTCTGCACAGCGAAGGAATCAATCAACAAAACTAAAAGGCAACCTACTATTGACCTTTTGACCATCCATCAGAAAAAGGATCATCTATTTCCTACAGTGTGGTTGACCTTGGGTAACTGAAACCACAGAGAGGGAAACTGCAGACACCGGGGGGGGGGGGGGGGGGCTACTGTACATATTTACTCCCTGAATGCAAAGTGCACACTACTCAAGTGAATATGTAATGAAGATAACAAAAATAGAGACCTCTATAAAACTAAAATGACTTGCAGGTGAAAGCAAACCAGATTAGCT